AGAAAGAAAAAGAAATAAGAGAGAGAAAGAGAAACAAGAAAGAAAAAGCAAGAGAGAGAGAGAAAGGTAAGATTTCTACTAAAACCTGTTTAAAAAATGGCTCAAAGGCATTCTTGCTTTTAAACTGAGAACAAAATTGGAGATAATCACTGACAAATGACTGAAGCCTCAAAGCAAAATAATGATTCAGAAAAAAAGAAGCAACAAATTTGAGGTTTAGCTCCCTGCTCCTAAATTGCAGCTTCTTGGCAAGAAGCAGAGGACAAGGAAAACAGTTAGTTTAGGCTAGCTTTGGAGAGAGAGAGAAATGCCTGAAAGGAGCTGAGCATGGAAGAACAAATTAAGGAAAGGCAGAGGGAGAAGGGCCACTGGGGGAGGATTATACCACCCAGTGAAGCCCCCTCCTCACTGAAAAGCATAATTAATCAACCCTTCCCATGACTATCTACTAGAAATGAATTGTCCTCTTGTTTCCAAAAAGTCGAATTATTTTTTTTTGCTCCTCTCCCTAGTTAACAGAATAGATTAAAACACTGGGCTGAGGACAATATTTTACTGTTTATATCCTGCCTGTATAAGTTTTGCAAATAAGTCAAGTCAGTGAGCTTATGCAACACACCTTTCCCACTCCTATTTTCCCCACAACAACTCTGTAATGATTGGCCCAAAGTCAGCCAGTTGGCTTTTGTGCCTAAGGCAGGACTAGAACTCACCATCGCCTGGCGATTGTCTCCAAGTCATCTAGCTGGCTTTTATGCCTAAGGCAGAACTAGGACTCATAGCCTCCTAGTGATTGGCCTCAAAGTCACCTAACTGGCTTTCATGCCTAAGTTGAAACTAGAACTCACAGCCTCCCAGTTTCTAGCCTGCTGCCTTAACCACTAGACCAAACTGTCCCTCACAATTCTGTAAAATCAATACTGAATCCTCCAAGGAATATTCTGCCTCGGTGGGGAATTTGCACCCTCAGCATGGACAAAAAGGAGACGGGCCTCACAGCTCTAGGATCTAGTTGCAACTTGTGGTTTCCACCCTCCCTTTGTTCCTTGCAAGTCACTCAGCCGACTACTCGGAGGCCATCTCTTCCACAAGAGGGCCAATACTTGCCGATAACGTTTGTCGTCCACCGGGACAAAGTCCATCAGGAGCATGTAGTCTGCCATGGGATCCATCCCGAAAATTTTCACCTGGAACGTGGGGAACATTCTCCTGTGGGAGGAAAAAGGAGACAGCTGAGAAGGACAGATGCGCCTCTGGCACAGCCCCATTCTGACCTCTGCTTTCCAACGAAAAAGAAACTGAGGTGGCATCGAGCAGTTAGAAACCCAGTAGGAAGGTGGCTAGATTAACCGATTAACAGAGTTGGAAGGGACCTTGTAGGTCATCTAGTCCAACCCCTCGCCCAAGCAGGAGACCCTGCACCAGGGGCCTTCAAACTTGACCGCTTTAAGACTTGTGGACGTCAACTCCCAGAATTCCTCCTCCAGTCATGTAAACTTAGGAATTCTGGCAGTTGAAGTCCACAAGTCTTAAACTTGCCAACTTTGAAGACCTTTGCCCTACACCATTTCTGACCGATGGCAGTCCAGTCTCTTCTTGAAAGCCTCCAGTGATGAAGCTCCCACAACTTCTGAAGGCAACGTCTGTTCTGTTGGTTGATTACTCTCACTGTCAGAAAATTTGTCTTTATTTTCAGGTTGAATATCTCCTTTTTCGGTTTCCACCAGTTGTCTTCCCTCAGGTGCTTTGGAAAACAGCTTGGCCCCTTCCTCCTCTCTGTGGCAGCCCCTCAGATACTGGAAGGCTGCTCTCCTGCCTCCCCTGGTCCTTCTCTTCCCTAGACTAGCCAGGCCCAGTCCCTGCAACCGTTCTTCATACGCTTTAGCCTCCAGTCCCCTAATCCTCTCGGTGGCTCTTCTCTGCACTCTTTCTAGAGTCTCAACCTCTTCATGTTATGAGATAGCGATAGAGATCTTGGTGTGGAAATGTGAGGATTTCTATCCACCACAAGTTCCTTGTTCTTGTTTTGAAGTAGACCTCTTTCACTCAGGCCATTTCTAACACCAACCAGTGACCCAAAATGTGTCTGCATATGGTGTCATCATAGCCAAGCTTTGATATGACATTAAAAAAAAAACACCTAACCACCTCTTCTAAACGATGTATGAGATCACAAGGAGACCCCATTAGGAACTGACTATAAATTGGCCATCTTCAGAGTGCCAGAAGACTCTTCTTCAACACATGTTCTTTGCCCCACTGGCTACATATTGGTTTCTTCAGCATCTTGGTCTAAAAAAAGGTGACTTGGATACCCTCTGTTTGATGGACTTCAGATTTCACATTGTAAACCTCAATTCTCTGCCAATAGAAGAGGACATTTGTAGCTCAGGGGGTCTTTGGTGCTTTCTGAGCTTGGTGGTTTTCTTGCAGACAAACAAGAGAGCAAGCCCCACTCCCTTCTAGCACTGTTGATGTTACCTAGTTGGGTAATGAAATGTTTGCAAGAAAGCCATCAAGTTCCGACAGCACCAAGGACCGCAGAATTCTCTGACTGCTTAATTCTGCACTTAGCATATTCGGGGGAAGAATTCCAGCCAGCACCACTGACTAGGTCAGAATCTGTATTGCAGACCAAAGTAAAGAGTGCAGTACAAAACTTGGTTGCCCATCACAGATAAAGAAGCAACTTTTTTAAAAAAAAATTAACCTCCCATCTTTAAACTCTTGGCTTCAACTTCCTGGCCTTCCGAATTAACGGATCTTCTTTTGACGTGCTTGGAAGGAGCTAAAATAAATTCATAAAGACATTCTCACTAGCATGGCAATCCTTGGTGCCCACCTCTCAGCCCTGACATAGTCAGCATTGGAAAATTAGCACCAGTGGAAAAATCCACACCATTGTATTAGTAATCAATGCAAGGCCAAAGTTGGTCTGATTTGCTTTTTGCATTTCTTTCACGAATCTCAAGGTTTGCAAGTTCTGGACTGCTTTTTTTTTAAAGGCAATTTGAGCTCAGCTTTACAAACCCAGAGCAACTTCCCAGATAGCATATATGCGATGGCATGAATAAATTCCATCATTAAACCCAAGAGGCTCCTTCCACAGACATTCCCTCCCTCCCACTTAATTTATAGCTGCCTCCAACACTTTCCCTGCTCTGGGCTTCTGTTAAAGGTAAGTGTAAAATAATGGCACATGCCCTACAAAAGTTTCCTTCCAAACACAAGTTGCAAGTTGCAATATTCTGAGGTTCCTGGCAAGCCGATATTGAAAGCTCAATGGAAAAAGAAAGACAGGTTTTTCAAAAGAGCCTTCCTTTCCAAATCAAACGAGACAATTTGTGGGCAAGATTCCACACAGTTGAGGAAATATATTTTTGTTCTCTCCTGAAACTCAGCTGAAGCAGAAGCGAAAGCACATCGAACTGGCTGCATGCAACAACTTTTAGCTGGTTCCAACGAATGGAAAGAGTTGCGATCACGCTGGTGTCACCCCAAACGCAAAAACGAGGATCGTTTGAGGTCGCTTGAATAGACTTTCTTGGAACAAGTTTTCTCCCACTGGGTGCTCTCTCAGACTCCTACCCTCAGCCTTCTCAGCCAGGTGGGGGAGGATGGGTGTTGTAGTCCAAGCGTTGTGCAGCCCACCAGCATTGATCTTGCCCTCTTCCCCGGCTACCCGTCTCGTCCAGAGAGAGGAAAAGTGGGTGAGCGGGAGGCTTTGCAAGGAACACGTGTGGGGGGAATTTTGTTACCTGTGTCCCAGGTACATGTTGTCTGAACATGTTGCCTTACCGTAGTTATTTGTCAGGATTTGATGATAATAATAATGGGGGAGGGGGAGGAGGACAAGAGAAGAAGAAGAAGAAGAAGAAGAAGAAGAAGAAGAAGAAGAAGAAGAAGAAGAAGAAGAAGAAGAAGAAGAAGAAGAAGAAGAAGAGGAGGAGGAGGAGGAGGAGGAGGAGGAGGAGG